ACATATATGTGTGTGTGTGTGTGTGTGTGTGTGTGTGTGTATGTGTGTGTGTGTGTGTGTGTGAAGTGTTGAACAAATATAAGAGGGGGCATAAGGACTATATAAGTAAAAGCAGTCTACTCATGATGAAAGGAAAGTTCACCAATAAATGCATGGAACAATTATGCAGCAACTTCGATCACAATAGACTACTTCTGTCATGGGGGAACTACTTCTGTCATGGGGGAAAGCCTTTTCTTTTCAAAGGATCTGTCGAAAAAAGAACACGGTAGTCAATAGTAATCATAGACACCGTTCATAATTCAAACGTAATGTACTGTCTTAATGGGCTACTCTAGAGAATATTAAAGAACATAATACTAGAGTCTGCTCTCTTTGTGTGATTTTCGTTGCCAAGCTTTCCACGATTGTGTTCTCTTTCACCCACAGATCTCGACCCGTTCTTAGCAGAAGCTGGGGACAGGATACAGGATTTAGAGAAAAGGGTAAGTGTTTTGGGTTTTGGTTTAAAAAAAGTTTTTTGTTGTTTTGTTGTTGTTGTTGCTATTGTTGTTGTTGTTTGTTTTGTTTTTTTAGCAAAGGAGGGGTGAACTACGTCCCCATCAACACCATAGAAAATACAAATGAGGCCAGCTTCCACCCTGTCTGTCAGGACCTACCGAGATACATCTTCCCAGCAGAAATACCGAAATACTCGATACCCATTTTCTCTACTAGGGAATCTGACAACACGCAACAGCCAAGCGCCTTACGGCTACACCGTAGACATCGATAAGAGTAAACATTTTCTTATAAGTTACAGGTTTTACAACAAAGACTGAGTAATGTTCGTTGACAAGACACAGAATTGAAAGAAAGCAGGCACACTGTGTTGGCTTTGCCTTTGGCGTTACACGTTATCAGCTAAATGTGAGGCAGCGTGGTGGAATCAGGCTCTCGGCAATTTTAGGGCATGTAGAGGTATTGGTATTATCTTACAGTTTGTTCGCTTGGCTCTATTCGGATGAAAAAAATATCCATTTATCTTGTGTACAAGTCGAGATATTTGCAAATGAAGGAAGTGGGGGTCACCTGTTTTCAGAGGTAAAATTAGAGAAAAAATGGCCGCCAAAGATTAGTTATTTTCTTAGCTTAAGAGTCCGTGGTAACTAAGATTTTACAATTTTTGCACCTTAAATCAACGTTTTTCAGAAAAACCCTCACAGAAATCAGTACTTTAAATGGCATGAAAGGTGTTGAGTCAAAAAAAAATTTATAAAAATTCAAAAACCAGCGGAAAAATGCAAGTTTCTTCACTTTGATTATTTTGACGAGAGCCTGATTCCACCACGCTGCCTCACAAATGTAAAGTATGTTTACTTTGTAACGAGTTGGTCTTTATAACTAACCTACAATGTATTGCTTTAGTTAGGTGAGTGTAAAGAGAAGCACATAGATCATTTAAGATGTGGGCTGCTTCGAATCCTCAAGGTTAACCTGGGTTGGTTGAGAGAGAAACAAAGCATCCAAGTAGACAGACAAACATGAGCGACACAAAAATTTCCCAAAAGAGGAATCGAAGTCGCGTCTAATGTTTCTAACGTCCAACAAGCTAACCACTCCACCACAAAAGCAGGCCGAAAAGTGCCGCTAGTGCAGCTCAAGACGCGCACACTGAAGGCATCTCGTAGTCTTCAATTGTGCAAGAGGTGCAAGATAAATCAGCTAGACCAAGCCACACAACAAACGTATACCATCAGTGCTCCCACCCCATTTTTGCTTTCTTAACTGAAGATGTTTTACGCCCCCATCAATACAATTTAAAACTATGAGAAAGCGAGCTTTGCCCCTGCCTGTCAGTCCAACCCTTACAGGGAGCAAGGCAACGTGTTAGAAGAAAGACCGAAATACTGGACGGAAATTCTCCACATTCGGGAACCGAACTCAGCTCGACTGCGTGAGACGACAAAGCCTCTAACCTCTTCACCATAGACACCGACCACCCCCCCCCCAACCTCTTTTCCCCAAAGAGATCGGCGAATCAACTAATAAACGACACGATAGGCGTTACAGAAAAAGCCAGAAGCTCGACAAAGAGGCAGCTCAAGCTCTCTCCAGCTAGCCCGGATTGAAATTGGAGTGATAGGAAAACTGTTTGGGTTCGCGAGTAATTGGATTGTCGCCGAGCAAAAAGTAGTGCTGGGCGGTTAGGTTCCCGGTTATTGAAAGCTAGGAATCGTAGGAATCGACTCCGAACCCAATTACTTTCTTTCAAATGATGTGATTTCTTCCGGTGGTTACCTGGTTGGCTCCGAACATCTTCAGGGTTTATGATAACATTGCTTTCGAAACACTACGAAGCATCAACTTAAAAAATAAAAAATAAAAAATAAAAAATAAAATAAAAGAAGAT